GTTAATCTCAAATCCAGCAGTACTACTATTAAATTTGAAATGGATTTAAGGGCAGAGGTGACTGATTTGTCAATTGACTTTCCAAGAGATGATCTCTGGAACCAGATGGAGCAGCTGCAGATAGTGCTTGATAGCCCTGAGGACATATAAGTTGCCTTGTTTAGTGCAAAGTCTACCTTAGCAGCACAGGGAAGGCATGCACATTAGACCAACTCGGTATTAATGGGATTCCAAACCTGAAATGCTTAATTAAATCACAGTAATTGAGAAGATTAAAAGCAATTGGAAAAAGCTTGGCCTAAATTTGGCAATAATGGCCTAAAATCAGAGTAGAGTTTACTGAAACAAAAGACCTTATTTCATGCCTTTTGTTTATGCATTTTTGCCTTCTTGTTGCTCATACAGCTAAAGAAGATGGCATAAAAACAAAGAAGCAGTCATTAATAAACTGACAGCATGGTGTGTCCTTATAGTGCTGAATCTAGTCATTACTTAGCTAAGGCATACATAGTTTTTTCTAACATCATTAACATGTTTTAAGAGTAATATGATGTTAATAACTAAATAAAGCATTCCAAGATGTCCAGCCTCACTGAAATGTTGCAGCTAAAGGCTTCCCAACATTGGCTTTTTTTTTATTACTACGACAGATTAGAAGCACATTACACATATTGATGCTGTAGAATTTACAGAAATGCCCTCTTCAGCAGTTTCTGATTTAGTAACGTCGTTTCTTATATCATTCTATTTCTAAGAAAAATATTTAAGAGAAAAACAAAGATTTTGAAGCATATTTATTAATATATTTTCATTCTTCACCTCATTAAAATTTTTTCTTCTTTTGTTTTTTTTCTTGCCACAGTGTCTTATCAAATTAAAATTTTTTTACAGCATGCTGGCTCCACAGCTATTGAATTTGCTGGCAGACTCACTATACCTGAAACTGCTGAGCAGCCAAGATTCACAGCAAAGAGATATTCAGGGAGATCTGGTCTCCTCTTATTTTGTCACCAAACCTCTGGTGGGCTATACTTGAGATATTTATTCTCTCCTTCACAAGTTTCTAAGAAATTCCATAAGTTTTATTTTCTTATCAGTGCCTGTGGGTTCATTTAAAGGATGACATTTTTATTGAGTCATTATGAACTATCTGAAGAGGAAGAGAAACATTTACTTCATGTATAAGTACTTATTTGATCTGTAAGTATTTCAATATTTCTACATTCAAATTTATTTTAACACATGCTTCACAGTTCCTGGGAATGACTTTCTCTCAGTTGTAATGCAGTAAGTCATGCATTTAGACTTTTGGATATAAAGAAAACTTACTGATTTCAGAAGTCTAAGCTTCTAAATATTTCACAGTCATTGTTGCTAAAGCCAGAGCAGTACCCCTTTCCTTCATCAGAAACTAAATGGCTCAATAGGCAAAACTGGAAACTGATGATTATGCAGAAATGCCTTGCCTGTGTCACAGTTTCTGCACAGTTAGGACAGTTCAGGAACTAGCATGTCTCTAGGTCTCTTCATTGCCTGTGTTCTCCTGAATGCAAATTGCCTCTTATTTTTAATGTCTATCACTGCTCTGTCTATTGCAGAACCTATACAAAGAGAGAAAAACTTTTGCTTGGCATCTAATACCTTGCCAGAAGGACTGAGCATGTAAGGCTCTGGATTTCAAGTATGTGATGAGCCTCCCAGTGAGCTCAAACCCTGCCTTTAGGGGTAAGTTCTTTCCTTTTGACTAACACCCAGTGCAGCTCCTTCTTTTGGCAGCTCAGGACCTTGTTACTGTAGGTGCTTTTCTGCTGAAAGTTACTTTTTCAAGGTCACATAGTGATAGGCTGAGGGGCAATGGCTTTAAACTGAAAGAGGGCATTTAGATTAGATGTAATGAAAAAATTCTTCACTGTGAAAGTGATAAGACACTGGAACAGATTGCCCAGAGAAGTTGTGGCTGCCCCATCCATGGCAGTGCTCAAGGCCAGGTTGGATGGGGCTTTGAGCAACCTGGTCTAGTGGAAGATGTCCCTGCCCGTGGCAGGGGGTTTGGAACTAGGTGACCTTCAAGGTCCCTTCCAACCTAAACCGTTCTATGATTCTATGATTTCGAGAATGATGTATAGTGAATATTATTTTTAATGAAATTTTATGAAATAAAATGATTACTTTCCTGTTATGGGTTGCATGTATTTTATAAAGTTACTTACAAAAGTTATAAATTGCCTACAAAATAAATGTGGGATCATCTTAGGGTAGTATTGAATATTATCAATTAGAGATTGGGAAAAAACATACAGGTAATTTAAGCTGTGTCAGTTTTGTGCTGTTTGATATTATTCAGGTACAGAAATTTGTATTTTTCCTGCTACACCTCTCTACAGACTTCTGATATTCATCTATACCTCCTTTCTTGCAGATGAATTAGGATCAGTATTTTTCAGTCTAAGTAATGTATTTAGCTAAACTGAACATAATTTGTTTTAGCAGCATTTATCAAGCTGCAAATATGAGAGATATCTACCAGTTTTATAAGCTTCCGTGTGCTTGCTACAATTTCCTGTGGCTAGCACGGCTGTTGTATAAAAAGACAGTAAGATTTCCTATTCTCCAAAACTATATTACATACATAATAACTTAAATCAGATACAGCTGTAGATATACTTTATATCTAAAACCTAATATTACTTTGTTTAAAAGAAGCTCTTTAACGAAATCACCTCTAAACACATGAATATATATATATTATATTAATGGCTTTTGTCGTGGTTTAAACCTAGTCAGGCAACTCGTTCACTCACCCCCCCCCCCCCTCTTCCCCTTCTTTCCCTCCCCCTACTCCTGGAGAGATGGAGAGGAGAATCAAAAGAATGCAACTCCCACGGGTTGAGATAAGAACAGTTTAGTAACTAAGGTATAACACAAATCACTACTGCTACCACCAATAATAACAATGATAAAGGAAATAACAAGGGAAGAGAATACAACACCTCATCACCAGCCGACCAATAACTTGTCCCCCCCCAACCCAACCAAGCACCGACCGATACCTCCTCCAACCCCGCAGTCTCCCAGCCCTTCCGGGTAACTCCCAGTTACATTCTGGGCATGACGTGCTGTGGTATGGAATACCTCTTTGGTCAGTTTGGGTCAGGTGTCCTGTCTCTGCTTCCTCCCGGCTTCCCCTCCTCCCTTGCAGAGCATGAGGCTCACAAAGTCCTTGGCCAAACCAAAACATCCTTGTTATCAGCTCTGTTCCCAAGCTGAAAGTCAAAACACTGCACTGCACCAGCTACCAAGAAGGAGAAAAATGACTGCTACTGCTGAACCCAGGAAGCTTTATTTTTTATTAGAAAGATATCTTAAAACTAAATCTTTGTAGTAACGACAGTGAAGAGAAACATGCTTTGAGTGTACCATGTATGACTAAGATTGACAAACGAGACGAGTTCTCACAGTGAACACACAAAAAAGCAATGAACAGCGATCCTTTATAAAACAAAAAACACGGAAGTTCAGGCAAGAAGAGGACACAAATTAATACAATCTTCAGATAAATTGAAAAGCACAGGGTTCATTCATTAATTCATCATTACAGTGTTAAGCCACTGTACATCAGCCATGCATGAAGTTCCTTCAGCCAATTAAATGGGATTCTTTGTGATAAGAAGTATTTCACTCAAAGCGAGAAAACTGCATATGGATCTTCTCTCTCTTCAGCATGATTTGATAAACACCAAGCAAAAAGAACAGCTGTCCTTAAGTCCTCTGAGAAATCTATCAGCATCCACCAGCTTATTTTTTCTTGTATATTCCTTTTTATGAGTTACAGTCTAATTGATTTGGCTTGGAGGTACGTTCACTGGGTCTGAAACATTTCTTTTTCAATTAAGTATTGCAGCACATATCAGAAAATAATTCTAAAATATTATTTTGAATGTTTTCAGAGAATTCCTAATACTGGAAATTGAGTGTGTGCAAAGAAATAAATACATCATGATTAGCTTTTTTCTATACTACCTATGCTCTTCCGTCCCTAATCTGCCCCTCTATCTTTCACCTACATCAAAATGACAGTGCAGAAACTACAGCCTATCACTGTGCATCTACCAATAATTATGCAGTCTAAGCCATTTAAATCAGGCAACATTTTCTAAATAAAATTATAAAAATATGAAAAATATCCTGGCTAATCAGTACTAATCAGCAAACCCAGAGTTATTTTTAAATATTGGCAATTTTGAACCTAATGCACATACATATTACTGGGCAGCTTGTGAAAAAAAGCAAGCTCTGTTTGGTGTACAAGTATATTTGCACAAGAATATAAAGGGATATTTGTGCATAGCATATTTGCCTAGCTGAAAAATGACAACCCACTATTTCCAAAGTTGATCTTTCACTGAGAAGTAACAGATCTCTGAAATGTAGTTTGTGATTAAGTAACAAGAGTAAAACCACCACCACAGGTAAGGAACTGAGTACAGAAAGCATTCTTAATTCTTTAGTTTCTGTGCCACATGGCACTGTCAATAAATGCTTATAACAAGGCATGTATTAAATATTAATCTATGCTCCTGCCAGCACCTTCAGTAGAAGCAGGAAGGCTATTAAGCATAATCCAAATGGGACACAGGAATTTGCTTCTGCTGTAATGCATCCACTTCAAATCAGCATAAGTTTTATATATTGGGTCTATTTCAAAGATAACATTCTCAGTGCTCTGCCTGGTGATTTCTTTATCCTCCCAGGTGCTGCGTTGCCACTGACAAGCTAAGAGTCAGTGTTTTGGCCCAAGGCCTTCCTCAAGGAGGCTGGCATATATCCATACAAGGACAATGCAACACCTGTAGTAAGAAAACAGAAGTACAGAAATGGGATGCTCTTTTGTACTGTAGAAAGCTTTCACTGTATTTATTGCACTATTTTTTTTTCAGATGCACAAAAGCCAAGTTGTGTACAGAGGCATAAACCATAAAATGGAAAACCAAAATTATCAATACTGTTCAATATTTAGCAAATTTGCTTTATTTCATATAGTTCACATCATCCAGGCAACATCTCTTTTAATTCAGTGTTGAATAAAACATTTACTTGAAGTCATGGAGAAAAAGAAGAATGGCTATTTTGTATTAAAGTGTGTAGAACATGAACTATGTATTTATTATGACAACGTATGTGTCTACAGTGACACATTATTCTTGTCTGGGCTTACTGAATCAAAATGACAAATATAATTAAAAAGTCAAACTCTCACAGAAATTTAACTATATGGGTTTTTCTAAATATTATCCATCTACGTCAAAGGAAAATCAAACCCAAATATTCAAGCAGTTATTCTAATGAGAAAGCAATATCAGGTAATTGTGAAGTTTATGTTCAAGTTAACAAAATCTAAATGCTTATTAGGTACCTCAAGAGTAAGTCAAAGGTGTATCCCCGAACTAAAGATACTGCATCTGAGAATGACAGCACGTATCTGACAATTTGAAACAGTTAAATGTTTGTACTAAGGCAGATATATATATTTGTTAAAAAATATAGAATTTCAATCATGGGAAACTGCACTTTAAAATAGAAAATACTCAAAACTGGTGTATACATAGATTTCACCATGAGTTTCAATCACAAAAATCTTGAAATTTCAGGATCAGGCCACTGACACAGACCCAACAATATCTGAATTATTTTAAGTTAGTATTACAAAGGGTGAACAAATCTTGACAGTGAACTGTTCTATTAAAACAGAGAATGGGATGGAAAGTTCTTCAGTTTGATTTTCTACTTCAAGGATTGCTTGAGGTAAAACACTCTAATGATACCAAAATTTATTTTCAGACTATTCTGATCTCTTTGTAAAGAAAACAAAATGCTGTCATAAATGGAGAATAAAATGGTATGACTTCATAAGCAATGAAATACAGATGTAGAAAAGGTACCTGGTGTGATGCCGATTTTCCTTAGATGATTCTATGTCTTGAACTTAAGAAAAACAAAACTATAAATTCTGTATGAAGGAGATAATGCATCAAGATTTCGATGTAGGATAGTTTATTACCTAAAGAAGTATGTACAAATTCTAAACATGAAAATAGTAAGTAAAAGAAATCAGACTCTATTTACACTTTTTTTTACAAATGTTTTTACAAATGTATTTTTTTTTTTCCTAAATAACAGGACAAACACATAAGACCAATCTTTCTGTATTACATACATAAATAAATACTGACTTAAAATGAATGCTATAGGATCATAATTTCTACAGCCAATTTGGGTAATAGAGAAGCAGTTCTGTTATCTCTAGTACAATATAATTAAGTCAGAAGGAAAAATTTTACATATAGAGCTCTGTTAATTAATTTGTAAATTGTACCTTACTAATATATTCAGTAGAGGTAATACAGTCATTACATTTCATGCCCACAACTGAACAATGAGTTTTGGCATGCAAAACCATATATAATCATCAACATCTGTAGGTATTCATTTACATTTTTTTAAATAAAGGGTTTTCTTAATTATTTTAAACTACATGCAACAGCTTATTAGCATCATATTCCTGGTTACAATGCACAAGTTTGCGTAACATTATTTTTAGTAGTTGAAGTTCACAGGTGCACCTCAAAAGGGTATATGTACTTGGCAAATAATATGAGAAAATGAATTAATAAATAAGTCAATATCACGACATTTACATATACACAAGACTAAAGTAAAATGTTTCATGGTGGTGTACACAGAATTTAGAACTGTCTGGGTCTCACACTTTGTTCTGTAAGGCCCTGATTTAAGACAGTATTCAAGCAAATTTTGACATTTGTGCTTTATTCAAGGCATTGCTAAAGCTCCTTCTTAACTGCACAGGTTTACTTCGATCCCACTGACTTCTTTTATATATATATGAAAGTTTCCTCTTCTGCACACCTTCCTAAATCGGGGCCTGCTTATCTGAAATTCCCTGGCTCCAGTTGGGAGCATGGAGATGAAAGCACTGGGGAATAAATTGACTTAGTATTAAAGATTCTACGCAGTTCTGCTAATCTGAATGGTAAAATTCTCATTCAGATTAGCAATGAATATTTCTTTATCTGTGTGACCATGTCAAACATTAATGTCAATGTTAGCATTGCCACATAATGTCCTCAGCTCTTTCTGAAGCCATTAAGTCGAGCATGTTCAGCATTCCAGAAGTCAGACCTCTTGTTTATTGTCTATGTGCTATATTCTTAATGAATATTCAAGATTATACACATAGAAATACACACAGAACAAGTTCTGTCTTATTTGAGTTTCTCCTGCTCTATAAGCAACTCAAAACAGGTGAAAAAACAAAGAATAAACCATTCTCTTCTTAAAAAAAAATCACTGATGAACAAAAAAAAAGTCCACTTCAAAAAGCAGGTAGCAAAAACAGCATACTGTTATAATTCTGCTTAAAGAAATGAAGATAAAATGCATCCTGAAGTCAAGAGACATATTAATCAGAATCGTACATAGCAAATAATACATCAGTGTAAAGGTGCAGAGTACCTAGAACTGTCCCAATGTCTATATTAACTCTGTATTACACAACATCATTAGAGAAAATAAATCTTCAACTAGTGAATCAAATAGCTCTATTGCCGAATTAAATGTTTAATGACTTATGCTAGTAAATTAGGACAATACCCTGTAAAATTCAGCAAACAAGGCTTTATGAATTAGGCACTAACAACTCCAAATCTGTACTGCTAAATTCAAAGAATAATAAGGAAAACACTGACAGTTGGAAATTTAACATCCAGGCATGAGCTTTGTTGACTTCATATTATTCATTTTTGATTTGGAGGGTGACTTAAGAGCTGAGTTTATATGCTGGTTTGCAAAAGGAAAAAAATAATTTACATCTTAGTGGACTCTACATAAATACACTGGTTCAATGCAACTCTAACAACATTTTTTTAAAATTTCCAGATTCTACTTTAAAAGGGAAAACCACACCATGCTCTTCAAAAATATAGTTATTTTTAGAAGCTGAATGCTTCAAAGAGACTGGCATCAGCAAACAGGAACTCTTCTCATTCATTTCAGAAGCATGAGTCTTCCCCTCAGCAACCAAGACTAAGGGTATGATCACTCAGGGCTACTAACTTCCAGTTTATCTCCAAGACAGATCTGGTATCATTGTAATAAAGATGGACATTTGTGTTCTACGCTTTACAATGTCACTGTGAATGAAACATAATTTCATTAAGATTAATCAAGTCACTGCAGATTTGCTTCAGCATAACTAGAACAGACTGTGATTGAAAGCTTTGGACAGAATATTTCAAAGAAGCCTGAGGTAATTATTTTCCCTGATCCCAGTGACTCCTGCTCTCAGCAAACATCATGGCGATCATTTCTAGCCTTACCTATGTCCTGTGCAATTTAAATGTCAAAATCCTGCACACCAGTCACATTCAAATTGTGTTTTCTTGGTAAAAATTTATACACACAAAACATTTCCATCCTGTCAAAAAAACTCTTGAGAATCTGGCTTTCTGCCAAAATTTAAAACAAACCTTTATAACAACAGGTTTTATGAGAAAGAGTTCACCCTTTTATTTCCTAATGTATTTTGGAAAAGGGGAGATGACAGTATGATAGAGGAAGGAATTATAAGTACCATAGCCTTTAACATTTTTAAAACTACTGTAAAAAGTCAAAACCATGTAGCAATAGAAAATGTCTGCAAAAGTTCTTGGTCACTGAGTGCATACCTAAAAAGACAACAACTGAAGTAGAAATAGAATGGATGGGGAAAAGAAGCCCTTTAAAATCAAAGGCAGAAATGTAGGAAAACTAGAATAAGCAAAAAATTAACTCAGCTTCCTTCACCCCTGTGTTATTAACCCACAAGAAACTAAAAGCTACAAACTTTAGTATAGACAAACTGTATTTGAATATTTTGTGAACACTCTACTATGATAAACATAACTCTGCTCCTCAGTTTCGGGTATGTATTTGTTTTTTTTCATATTTGCTTTCCACAAAAAACTACCAAAAGAAGGAAAGTATATTTAGCACTAAAGGCTGAGCTTCTCACACTGACTATCTCAGGCAAATATGAAGTACAGGTGAGTCTGTAGCATCTGCTGGTAGAAAAATTGACCAGTTTGACTCCTGCGAGTTTGAAGTATTTTATCCTCATATGATGATATGGGGAACAATGGAAATGGTGTCAAAGAATGCAAGAGCATGTTGAACATCCCGAACATTAGAAGCTGATTATAAGTATCTGTATGAACATTTATTGGCAGATATTTTCCATCCTCTCGATAATAAATCTAAACAGTTTCTGTTTACCGTTGAGGTATGTCTCTCTGTGTGGCAAATTATGTTAGACAGTTTATATTGCACAATAAGGCAATATGAATTCCCTTATGGTTAAAAAGGGCACCCTTCTGTCTAAATTTGAAAAATGCATTCAAATAAACTATAAACTAATGTTTTCCAGATGCCAGAATATAGTCACATAATTCTTTCTGTAAGCAGAACAGCAGAATAGATCCAATACATCCATCCTTCTGTTCAAAAGATCCATGGGGAAAAGAAATATGCGCACCAAAAGTCAAAGCCAAAAAGTAGCTCTGCAGATACTTGAATAATAAATGTGCCTCAGAATTTCAGTTAATGTTAACTATTCATCTCGAAATATCATATAAAAAAAATTATAAATGTGATTTCAAAAGTAGGGCCTATCAATTAATTGTATAAATCACCATTAATTTTCAACAATTCTATCAATTGCCATTTGTTTCTTTACAATGGTACATCTACCTTGTATATATTTTAGCTATTAACTATGTTAACAGAAGATCTACACATAAGAACATTACTATTTCAGAATAGATAGGTGACACAAATGTATCGTCATCCTCCTCAGTGGTGATACTGCAATTACTAAATACTGACTATTTTAGGGCTTCTGCTACTGTTATTATTTTACTTATGTCCTTATTTCAGACTTATGGAGATCTTCTTTAATAGCAAAATACACTAGGACTTAAATTGGTGACAGGCAAAGCTTTAGTAAAATAGATCATTTAAATACGCTGATGAGAACATGGCCTCCAGTGTTCAAAAGTATGTATACACCACAGGACAATCTTGCAAATGTTAATGTTGGAGTCACTAAGAGAAAAAGCTGTATATGCTGCACCATTTCAATCTACTTTAAACACAGAAATGCAAAAAAAATGTTCATTATAATGAACAAACTTCTGATTTTCTCACAGGTGTTGAGTTGTATGCAGTCTTCAGTTTGTGGAATAGCGGTGGTCATTAAATGATACTTGCTGTATGCTTTATCCTGCTCTTGGTGCAATTACAATTTTTCATGACTAAACTACAGAGAAGTAGATACAGATCATACAGGATGGTAACTTCCACTGGAAAACCGGTTTCATTGCTTCTACAGATGTGCCTTTTCCCAGACTTCATTTGGGAGCTCAGTTTTTTTCTCTTATTCATATAACCATCTGAAACAGTCTAATACTTCTCTGGGGGTGGCTTATAGTGATGTGGATGATGTTGCTTCAGATGAGGTCCTAAAAAAAGAATAAGAAAATATTCATGTATCAAACCCTGAATACGTAATACCAACATTTAGCATTACTAAATAGGCTTTGTGAGGCCTTCAGCTGGCAATCCTTTATAAGTGAACAGCCTGTGTTGACAACTATGTGCATGTTAAGTGCAGACAACTTTAGTGAGACTGTGAAAAGACAAAAAGATTCAAGAATCTTGGACTAGTTCATTGTATTTTTTACTTTGCTTTATCACACTGGGATGTACTTTTCAGAAATACACAAAATGCTGAAAATGGCCATTAAGATGTTTGAACTGCTTTATAAATACGATCAGGCTTTAGTCATGCTGGACTGAATGCACCCAGCAGAATTTAATCTTGAAAGCTGAGGAATCCCAAGCCTAACTAGTACTTGGAGGACAGACCAGCTTTGAACCCCAAGTGCTACAGGCGTAAGCCAAAGGGCTGTGCAGGAATGAATGGCAAACATCAGACCACAGAAACTGACTGAAAGATTGCATGTGCTTCCATCATTGCTCGGTATGGTGGGGGGGAACGCCATATTATCACACATCTTCAGTTTATGGAATGCTGCTGACATCAATAAAGACTCTGAGGCTCAAGCAAAATGTTTACATGTGGACCACTGAAGTTTTGTAACATACAACCACATGTCAAAATGGTGTAGAACTTACTGTGGGGTGAAAATAGAGGAAGGTCGGGTGTTCGAAATGATTTTATTGTAGCTGGCCCTTCCCCACCAGTTGTCAGCACTTGAACTTCCAAGCGGTACAGCATTGATGGCCTCAGATTGGGCACAGTAAGTACATAATGATCCTAAAATAAATAAATTGCATTAATCCTCAAAGCATGTAAAAATACAACACGGTTGCTCTACTCACAAAAAATCAGTTGTTTAAACAGGTTCTGTCACTCTCAGTACTGACAAATCATTTTCTTAGAAATACATTAAAAGAATTTAATGTATACATCACTCCATTGAGAGGACTTGTTCTGAATTTTTTGCCTCACATTCTCTTTGAGAAGACTTTTTTTACCATAATATTATGGTTGCATGTGTATGAGGTCCAAATTGTTCCTTACTGTTCTGGAAAGTGGATGCTCATCAAAAAAAAAAAAAAAAAAGAAGTAAGTTCCTAATCATTGCTTTTAACAAACATGTTCATTATATAAATCTGTTTTTATGTTGGATCTGCTTGGGAGTTCTACTAATTGGTAAATTAATTAATGGCAGGCCTAGGGCCCTTGCTGCAGCTAGCAAAAGTAAGTGTGATTTCAGGTTTGTCCTAATTACACCATAAGAATTTGCCTTCAGTTCTTAATCCCATTTCTGGCATGATGGACTCACTTTTCAGTGCTCCATAACTTTCATGGTCACATTTGTGCAAAATAAGCACTTTTCAGCTGAAACAGGAAAGATTCAGATTAGATATTAGGATGAGATTCTCCACTATGAAGATGTTGAGGTACTGGCGCAGATTGCCCAGAGGAGCTGTGGCTGCCCCATCCCTGGCAGTGTTCAATATCAGGTTGGAAGGGGTTTTGAGCAACCTGGTCTAGTGGAATGTATCCCTACCCATGGCAAGGGGTTTGGAACTGGATGAGCTTGAGGGTCTCTTCCAATCCAAACCATTGTATGATTTTATGAAAATAATTTCAGAGTAAATTTAAAAAAAAAACACTCCTAAATGGGAATATATCTGGCTCAAGACTAACAGGTATTAAGGAATTAAAAGTTCTGCTACATCTTATTCCAAGCTGGAAAGGCCCAGTCCCAGGAAGCAGACAACAGGGCCGTGATGCTGAACATTGTGAGCAAGGTGTGCTCCTGCAACCATCCAGGCTGGGCTGGGCAGTAAATTGAAAGGCATGTTCTTCTGGTTGGCTATGAGGGGAAATCTAAGTAAACTGTGGGAATAACTGGTAATTTGCTGTTGCTGAATGAGGGGGAAGAGAGAGAAAGAGGAGCGCAAACATCACATTCATACGCTCACTCTGCTAGTTCAGGTGCTCCTCTGGCAGTTGGGACATGCGCGTTTCAGCCCTGGTTGTGCAAATACTGAACTTTTATCAACCAGAGGCTATCAAAGAGAATGAGTGAAAGATCCTCACCACAAAATACCTATGTCCTGGTGATTTCTGAGAGGTAGGAGATACTGTTTCAACTCAAGTCAGTTTTCTGCAAGTTAACCAGTTGCCATAGACAAAGACAGATAGATAGATAGATAGATAGATAGATAGATAGATAGATAGATAGATAGATAGACAGATAATTAAATAAAATTAATCTCCAGGCTCTACAGTAGTGAAACCAGAGGACAATAAAGATAAAAAATTAAAGCAAAACACAATGCAAAGGAATGTTTTAAATAAAACATTATACATATTTCAGACCTAACTGGACCTTAAAAGCTTAAAAAAAGGAATAGAAATGCTGAATAAAACATATGCCTGCTCCTAACAAAAAAGATGAAAACAAATGTGTAAGTCAACATCTCATGGTCTTTAACTTTGCTTATTATTTTGTTAAGTGGCTGTAGTGTGCCCCATAGTTCTAAGGAATCCATGGTCAACTTTGTTGCTCTTCTGCAGAACAACAGGCTTTGAAACATGGGTGCCCTATAGCCCTTGGTCAGCCTGCTAGGAATTAAGACAGAATGATGAGAACCTTGCCTTAGATTTGTGAAAAATGCATTAAATGTAATACATATCCAACAAAACATTCTGCACATTTTTTGAGGAGACAAATGTGAAAAGGTTTTCAGCAAGTTCTGCTCCAGAAACAATTGCCTTGATCCACTTCCCTAAAGTGAATGGGAAGACACCCAATGTTATTAGCAGACCTTGGATCAAGGCCAGCTGCTAAATCCTTTTGTTGACTGGTGGATCTGGTAGCAAAGTCTGAATGAAGTGCCATTCACCTGCCTCTGCCAGAGGAGGAACTGAAATAGCAAAGGCCATCTTAAAGCAAATAGGAGGAAGAATTCAAATTATTAATTCTTGCATTTCCAATGAACAGTGACATCTAGTTCTCCTTTAAATTATTTGTCCATTGGACAACGTTGCATATTGGCAGACGGCAAAGTGATTTTTATTTTTCTTAGAGCAATGATACAAAGGAAGAGAAAATTCTTTTATATCCGCTGACTTGGACACCAAATAATTAGTAAAACTGTAGTAACTGCCAAGTTGAACAGCCTGATCATCAAAAGAAAATAAAAAACATCTATTGCCACACAGATGATCTTTTCCTCCCTTCAGGCATTTCTCAGACAATTGTTGCTAATTTGACAACTGTGCACATTAAAATGTTTGATGTGTCATTAAGATGAGTAGCTCTGCTGTCTAGCTCCAGCAAGTAGGAAAAATTAAGCACTTCCTGCTCTAACTTGCCTGCAGAGCCAGAGAATGCTATGTGTGACATCTGCTTCACCACTAACATTAAAAATACACACACACTTATGAAGCCACCAGCAAAGAAAGTAATAAACAACTTACTGCTGGCAGTATCTGTGACTGTGAAATGATGCTGTTGGGTAAGCTGTTCTGCCGGCTTTCCGTGGTTACTTCTGCCCAAGTGACTTGGAACCCTGTCATGGGCTGGTGAAGGTCTGCCTTGGATATCTTCCAGGAAAAATGGCCAGTGATGTTACCTTCCTGAACAATGAAAGACGCAGATAGATTCTCGGGTTTGGCCAACACTTTGGGTAGAACTGGCACTATAAATTTGGAAAGCAAAAAAGATAAGCTCAACTTCGAGAGATAATGTTCAATAAAGTTCATTTAATTCCACAAATCAAGGATAGATAGAGCTGCCTTTCTGGTGTTACCAGGATTCTGCCAACTTTCTGGCATCAGACTGTCAGTGTTAACCAAAGTCTACCTTTGATGCAATCCATTGGCATTTTTGGGCCAAATTCAAACTTCAGATCGAATGCTTTCAGCTGCAGGTGACAGAAAGGAAAGCCTGTGGCATGTAAAGATATAAATGCCTCATTCACAGGCAGCCATCCTTCTTCTCCACTGTATTTCAGAATACCTGAGCTCAGATTTTCAGTTTTGGGATCGCAAGAAAATCCACAGGATAGCACAGAACTCCATGATGCAAGCAAAAAGTGAAAGTCATGCTCTAAAACTGAAACAGAAGCTAACAGGGGGACTCTGATTAGGGGAAACATAAGCCTTAGTTGCAGTTGCTCAGGAAGGCTGCAGTGCTGGAAACTGTCAAGAGGGGTGGTGAGGAGATGGCAGTGGTGGCCAGCAGGGCTCTGAGGTGACCCACAGAGCATGGGATACCCTTGGGGATACTAGGGACTCAAACTGCGAGTGTCACCCTCTAAATGAAGAGAGAGGTTCCCAGACTTGGCTGTGCAAAGCCATGGTTGACTTGACCAAGTGCTGGCAACAATCCTGCTTCAAGTGGGTAGCTGGATTAGCTGACTCTAGAGGTCCTTGCCAACCAGTATCTCCGTAATTCTGTGATTTCCATAACCTTCCATCTGCACCTACCATTGTGGCATCACTGTGAAAGATATGTGTCTGTATTTGTTATTTGAGAGTAGAATTAACCTAAATAAAATCAAACTGCTTTGAAAAAGCAGCTTGCATCAGTAGCAAAACATGCAAAAGATGGGTCATGCCAGTATAATTATGTTTACAGTTATTATCCATCATTACAATAAATGTTCCTCCTTACAAAAATAAAAACTGTCAAATAACAAATGTCATGTTTTTAAACAGCCCACTAAAATTATCACGTAACTGACAAGACAGTAATATACTAGCCAAAATCTATACTGCTCTGTATTTTAGTAGATTTTTCACATAGGCACCAGTCATATTTTTATTCTGAAACTTTCATTTCCAATTTTAGAATAGCTTTAAAGGCTTTTTTTTTTAATTTATTTTATGATTTGAAACTATTTGGCTAGTTCTCCAGATCATGCCTTACCTCCTTCAGCAGGACAATTAATGTGCTTGTGGGTTTTTTCTTTAAATGCAGAGCAAGATGGGGTAACAAAGAAAATACTCTCAGCCTTAAAACGACCTTTAGAAGTTGCAGGCAAAATAGTTACTTTATATTTGCATGAAAATGACAGGTCCTTCAGAATCATGTAGTTTTCCTACAATAAAAAAACAAAAAACATCACATGGTGCAAACAGACCTCTAGGAAAAACAAACAAAAAAACCAAACCAAAACAAACAAACAAAAAACAAACAAAAAAACACCAACGTTGGAAGAAGATGAAACATTTTTTCCACTAATTCCTGCTACGCTTAACACACGCCAACACGGCTTTTAGTCAAAGAACAAAGCAAACACTGCCTACATCATGATTATTTTCAGTAGTATAATATATTAGCATGGCGTTTGGATATGTCCTTCAATTCTACACAGTTCCTTTGCCATGCTGCATCAAAGCAACTGGCTTCTAACATTTAGAACAGTCTTTCTGACATGATAGAGTGGGAGTAGCAATGTGAGGATGTAAATGCTAGTTGAATTAAATAAATGTAAGAAAGCTGAGTTAAGCTGCTGTAAATGACAGGCTTCATCTACATTCAATTTTTTAAAAGCACATTTAAAGTCCAGCACATCATTAAGGATCCATTTTTTTTCTGCTTTACTACATTAACTACTTCTATCTTCTTGTCAGGAAGAAAAGCTTCCCAGCTGAACTACAAAGCACATTTCTCCATTTAAAGACAATAACCAGAGAAGAAAACTTTACACAAAGCATAAGTGTCCTGCTAAATTCATCTTGTTGTCTAAAGTACTTTTGAAAATCAAAGCCTGAAAGCTTTAGGAGGAATCATATATGAGAGAAAAATGTGGGGTTTGTTTTTTTGTTTGTTTGTTTTGTTGTTTTGCTTTTTTCCTGGGAAGATGTCCAATAATACCTTACTGTCTAAGGTCAAAAGTCTTTCACTGCCTTTTAGGTCTTTACTTCCCTTCAAAATCACTATTTTCCAGTGTTCTTCTACATAGACACTTTTTTCTAATGCCAAATTGGATTTGTCTGATGTTCACTTGGAAGGTCATTTTCATTGAGACATAGAGATGAGGCTGAGAATGAACTTGACTCCCCTTCCATCTGCCAGAAGAGTGCTCTAACAGGCTTGACACCTCCTTTGGACTATTTTAATTTATTGTGACAGGGTCTAAATACTCAACACTGGATATGTAAAGCCTTTATTCACCTTGACCTATCACGTCCAGTACCAAAGATTTTGTAGCATCCCCCTTCTTCTGTATGCTTGCAGCTAGATTCTCCTCCTTAAGAAATAGTTCCCCAAAGTAGATTAGACCAACTACTGTAAGATGATTGAGAGGAAACAGAATCGTGGAATCATGAAATGATTAGCGTTGGAAATAACCTTAAGATCATCTAGTTCCAACCCCCCTGCTATGGGCAGGGATGCCTCACCATAGACCATGTTATCTTAGCCTCTGTCCAATCTGGCCTTGGACACTGCCAGGGATGGAGCATTTACCACTTCTTTGGGCAGCAATAATGAACTAACCCCATAATGCATGTCGACAAATTTACAAAGATATTTTCTGACCTCTAGCGGAAATAAACTCCTTAAATGTCAAATTTCTCCTATCTTCAATGTGCATAACTTGAAATATTGCGACTGATCATAACATTATGTCACAATCATTTTTTTAATCCACATCTAATAATTTGCTTTGCTGACCCCATGAAGCAGTAAATCTTACAAGCTAACAGTCTCCTGCATGAGAAGTGATGTCTTTTGACTTACTGTACTTCTACATACCATTAAGTCCACTGAATTGATCTCTAGTACATGTCAGGGTAAGAAGGAAAGGTGAAATGTGATTTCTGCCATTCTCCATAACCCACTAAATCAATTGTGATGCACCAACCACATTACAATGTTGTTCAAATGCTTTACAGGGACAGATGACACTAGACTGCCAACAAATTGAGTATGAAGAACTGTCACTGCAATATATATTTGGGCTGACAAAAGCTCTGACATAGAGCTTTTCTTCTTATCTGATACCTGCCTGACTTTCAGATTTAATGTCTAGTATTTTTCAGCTATGGCCCTTTTTTCTTATTCGATTACTGCCCTCAAGTTTGTGAACCCCACCTGCATGTCTAAAAGAAAACTTAGTTTATTAATTCCTATTATTACTGTTCAGTATAGGCACTCTGCTGGAGCCCTACAGTACTAATTATAGATAAAGCTCCATGTTCTGTATGTTCTAGAGATGTAGATGTACTTAGAAGTTTGTTTGCCACTTTCATTTCCTAACTAACACTGACAAAAACAACAAAAAATTACCATAGTATGGATTAAAAAAACCCTGAACATGACAAAAAAAAAAAACCAAATAGTCCAGATGCATTATCTTTTGTCAAAGAGGAACATAAAGAAGAAACATCCTTATTTATCTGTGAAGCATGGTATAAATCATACTGTTTAGAAGCTATTCAGAATCAAGCAGAAGGCTGAATGGACACTTACATAAGTCAGCTCTGTTACTTTCCCACGTCCTTTGGTGTCATTGTGCACACAGGACTCCAGTAACCAGTGGACTTGGAATTGATTCATGCTGGTATCTGAATGATATAAAAAGAGAAGAAAAAACATATAACTATGCTTTCACCATTTAAACTTTTCTGGCTTCTCTGGATAAAAATGGGAGTTTTAACTATTGCAGAGATGGTAGTTCCTCACTAGAATGGAGAAAATATTACATACTTACGTAATTTAAAGCTTATGTCAGCTAATGGAGATAAATCTAAAAACAGTGAATTGGCATTTTCTGATATGTAAGAATATACTGCTTACATTTTTTTCTTAAATCAAGCATTTATATTGAGCATTAAAAAAAATAACCTCAATGCTGCTACTTCTAAACATCCTGCAAATTATGGGAATGACTTTGTGTCAACTGCCTGTGACTGTTTATATTGTCAGCATCACAACACTGCTGCCTGGCATGGCTTGAGAAATCTGTGCCTGAAGATATGTGACAATGTCTGCAAATCCCTGAACCTTCTTCTTTCAGAATACATCATAACAACTATTCAGCTTCTGTCCAAATAAAATTCTAGTCTCGACTCTTAGGAATAACACCAAATGCTTGAGTTTGCTCCCATTTAAATCAATGACAAAACTTGCTGCAGTATCAATTGTATAAGCCTTCAACCAATTTCCAGCTCTTTTAGCTTCTTGTCTAATACTGATTGCATAAGGAAGCAAAACAAAGGGCAATAAAGAATTAGATGAAAGAAGAAAATCTCATCAGGTAATGCAAATACATCCTGTCATTTTTCTGGATTTAGTTCTCCTCTATCTTTATACAGGGGATACAAAATTATGTCTCTTATTATTAATTAGCTTGGTATGACACAGCCACTAATGCCAAGTCCCTAATTGTGGGTTTCAGGAAGGAAAACAAATATCTTTGATGCCTTAAGGGCTGATCTGACATTAGACTGCTATGAGTAATTTGGATGCAAAAGGGAAGGATTGTAAATGAAATAGAAAATAAGTAGTGTCTGAAACTAGCTCAAATGGCATTGTGGTAAAAAGACTGATTAGAAGCTCCTTGAAATAGATTTTTGCAGCAGCTATCATCATAACAACGTATGTACTAATTGTGTAATTTCTCTGGAAATTCAATTTATTTTTTTTTTTCCCAAAAAGAAATCTATAAAGAAATAACTGCCCTGTGATTGTTCCCTCCCTTTTAAAAATAAAATTGATGTGCTTTCACTTGCCTCTTAGATGCTGAACTTTCCCACCTGATGTGCCTATTGGATGAAGACACAGACTCACAGAGCATTTATAAGTAGGTTTCATCTGATTTAATCTCTTTCAGTTCATTCAGTTATTGCCTGTCATCTGCTTGTGTCCCTCTCCTGGGACAAAAAACCAGAATACCTAGCTTCTTGAGACCTGAAAACTTTGTGCTGCTATATTAATCATGCTATATTAACGATGTACACTCTATGCCAGTTAAGCACAGTGAATGTGTTATTGAGTGTATATTATCTGATAATCACAATTTATAACTATCTGCACGTAATGTGGGCTGCTCTCTGTAGAGCTAAAAAATGGCTATTTTCACTTGCAATCCATAAAAAAATCACTCTTTCTTTGGTAGACATTATCCAAACAAATTAAGCCTTGCCATAATCCAGCCATTAAGAACTGGATAAGACACGTATCTCAGGTAGGTTACTAAATATCTCTTGATGGGCAAACATTTTAAAATAAGTCTCAAACATCAAGAGGTTACAACAGTTCAGCATCCAGATACACTTGTGTAGAGATTTGCTAAGCCTCGGCCTAGAAATGTAATTAAATAGATTGTAACCCAAGATATTTGGTATTTCCAGCTCCTGGCACAGCAGCATCTTGTTGGATTACAATGCAGCTCCACCTCCATTGCTTCTGTGAGCTTCTGCTCTTGGTCATTCTCTTCTTTCCTACTTCTCCTCTCTTGCACTAGCAAACCCTTTGTAACCCATCCATAAACAGCTGTGGTTTCTGATACCTTCTCTCTTTGAACTAGAAAATTAGCAAGAAGTTATTATTTGTTATTAATTTCACTTTCTATCAACTTGGACTGTAAATGTAGGATGAAGATTTCCATTTTATAATTATGTATTTAAGCAAAGTGAACAAATAATCTTATATTTGATAGTGCTCAGAACTGATAGCCTGATAACCTATTTTCAGTGTGCATGTAATTAAGTTATTTTAGAAAGGTTTTTGCATACATATATACAACCACATCAACTGCTATAAACTGTAATGCATCATGACAGCACCAGCTAAGTCTAAACAAAACTTTCCATTGGAGCAGGCTTTTTTGACTTCCATAAATTTTTTTTTTCAAGACTAAAAATTCTTCAGTTCTAATCTCTGTCTTCTTGACTGCTGTTACCTGAAAGATTTGAACATAAGCATGCTAATTGCTTTTTGTTAAAAAGAAGAATGCAAAAACACTTGACAACAATACAAACAATTTTCTCCTTTTAAAAATTCTCTACTGTCAGGAATAAAGTCTGCACAATTTGGGTTGCAATACTGAAATATTATAAGGAAGTAGCTCTTAAGACAGAAACTTTAAAAAAATAGAAAAGGTGGGACATTCTAGTTAGAAGCACGAAAAGCTCAGTGTATGTGCATGCATGAAGTAAGTGTATTAAGAAACAAGATTGGTTTAGAAATTATCTTTAAATTTTTTGAGAGCAAAAGGAGACAAGATATATGGGATGATTTAAAAAGCCACATAAGAGACCTAAAAAAAAAAAAAAAGGATGAAAATACTCATTTCATTTGTTTTAGAGTTGCTCATAAAGCTCATGGCTCTAGAGATTCACTTTTAGCGAAAGAAAAGCTTCTCCCTGCCTCCCATTCAGTAATAGACACTATCCTAGTGAAATCACTACTATAATCTTATTTAATTTTTGTTTTCAGCTGTCCATTACCAACTCAGTGGTAGGTCCTGGACCAGCTGTCCAAGCTGCAGTTTAGCTGAATGCCAGCCACTGCACCAAAGCTAATGGTTCTGAACAAAGCCCAGCTAAGTTTAATACAGTGCAGGCCACAGCCACATCTTTTCCTGAAAAGTCATTTCAGTAGTTAATATTAACAAAATATCCTGTATCTAATGGGGCTGCTTTTGGCCAACTTATTGGAAAGCATAACACTGAAAAGAAACTGCCTTCAGTTTCCTTCAGGCTGGTTCCCTGATATTCCAGCTGTCACAGTATAAAGCCTTTTTGTACATAATCAATCTCCTTAATAGTTCAGAGTTTTCTTGAATCTGTACTTCCAATGAGGAGTCTTTATAAAGCTTTATAACTTCATTGTTCTCATGGCTAGAAAGTATACTGTTTGACACTAAAAAGACTGGTGCTTGCACAAAGAGCAAGCTTTCATATTTCTCAGAACTCAAAATATTTGTATAGAAACAGTAAACTTGAAGGACATGCTAAGTGCCAGCACTCATTTGAGCACTTTCAAGCTTGTGAAATTAGTCAACAGAATGGTCACTTAAGTCAGAACTCTGTAAAGGACTATTATGGCAGACAACTTATTTAAACAATTAAGGAAAAAAAAAAAAAAAGGCAAACCAGGAAAATCACTTTAAAAATTTCTTAAAGTTACTGACAGGGAAATGATCTCCTTCTGCCCAAGCCAAAGATTTTTAGATCCTTCAGACAGGTGCACAATGCTTATCTTTTCAAACAAACTAATAGCGAATATTAATTATTTTGGCTATGATTTTTAAAGTCAATTTTCTGAAGTATCAAATGAGTTCCTAGACTTAAGAAAACATCACATGAACATATTCTTAAAATTCCATATATGCTTAGCTCTTTTGCTGAACAAGACTATGCAGCTAACTTTGTTGGACAGAAATATTAAATCTCTAACTAGAAATCTCTTGATTAGGGGATGCTCTAAAGCGTGTTGAAAAGATACCTGTTTTGATTTCCTCCCTCATGTTTCACCCAAACCCACCCTTAATTTCACATGAATATCTCCACAAAGCTATCACTCTATTGATTGTATTTAGGAAGATGTTCTTCACCAGATATTTCTGCTTTCCCTACCCCCCTCACCCCAAAATTTTTAGTTTCATTTTAATAAAATTACATAGATATATTTAAGATTTTTCTAGGGGTGAAATGCGCATTTATTCTGTAGTTTTAAGCTGTAAAAGCAGCTCAAATTCCTATTAATGACAATGACAAATACATTTTTTTACCTTTGAAAAGTTCGGGTTCATATGCACAATTTAAGCATCTTAGATTGAAAAGTTTTGCTTAAAGTACCACAACATCTCCTAAGCCACAGCTGCATGACGATCAATAGGAATGCCACAGGCCTACATTCTACATTTGTTAAATCTCATAATCTCCCAACAGAATTGAAGCTCTGAGACCCATTCAGAAAAAATCACCCAACATAATGCTAGGTAACTCTGCAGCTTTTTGTAGCTGGAACTTCTGGTTTTAGTGGCTCTACAGTTTATGGAAAATAAACTAAATAAAACAGTGATCTTTTTCCTTATCTTTGTCACATTTCTGTTCTGAAGTACATTTCCATTACTGTCAACCATGTGAATAACCTCATCTAATGTGGTTTCTTTTTTTCTACCATGTTACCGCACACAGCTCCTTTCTTTGCCTTAAATATTATTTTTTTTTTTTACATTTATTGGTGCAGAAAGGTGCCAATGTGACAATGCTGAGGAACTGGAGCCTCCTTTGTAACTAGAAAACTGGCATCCCATAGGCTGGAACAGAAGTGAAATTTGTTCATACAATAGAATGCCACCAATATGACAATAACCTACTGTCACTCCAGGAGACCATGTAAACAGGTTTGGGGAGGTACTCCTGTGATCCATAGCAAGAAATTGTAGCAGACTATTTGGGGAACTGGGGCTAGTTCCTGCGCTAGTTTCCTGGAAGTCTTTAGGCAAACACTTCATGGCACCTTATCTCTGTTCCAAACCTGCTGAGTGGTGATAATGACAACAGTTTCTGACGTAAAAGTATTTCAGCTCTAGATTGGTATGCTATTCTGACGA